CCATGTTTGGACAGATCTACCCTCCCACTGGGTCTCCTAAGTGCCCGTGGGGATCATCAACAGTCTAGTCTGAAATCTTATTAAAGGTGAAGAATGGGCACAGTTTAATTTTACCCTACTGAAGCCCTTTGCAGACATTTCAGTGAATTGAAATAGTTTCATTAGTTATGTAGGATTGTATTAAAATGACCCTTCTCTTCAATAAAGATAAGGAGAACAAATATAAAACTGTAAATTTAGTGTTATTTAGTCAGAGATATCTGAAAATACGAGTCTGGATACTTTCCAGATTTCATGTCAGCATCTTTGTTGTTATGTAATGGACAGTCACTCGATTAGTATTTATTAAATATCTCCTCTAGGAATGTTGACTTGCTACTTCATAATTTATGAGTATGTTGAAATCCCAAACATATGTAGTTCTATTTTGATTTTTCTTTAATTTTTTAAATGATAAAGCAGTACATTCATTTCTAGGCAGTTGGCAAATCTTAAATGTCAAAGAAAGAAAGTATGAAACATTTGCTTTTAAAATAGAGAATTCTTGTTTTTTGAAAGCATTTTACCCACATATACCATTATTGAAGTAAAATATTTGTACTTGGCTGACTTGTCTTCACCAAATGTCAGAGCTTAGATCTCTCCTTGATTAGAGACATAGGGGTAAGTCTTTCTGCTATTAAATAGGCAATTAATCCTCAAAGAAATGTAGAGAATGTACTTGATAATTACTAGATGAAATTTATGTTGTTCTTTTTATAATAAATTGTTCTTTAAAAAAGAGTATTTATATTCTATATTTATCAGTTGTTACAGGGCTTTGTTACCTTTAAATTTGCTTTTGGGGGCCAGCCCGTGGCTCACTCGGGAGAGTGTGGTGCTGATAACACTAAGGCCACGGGTTCGGATCCCATATAGAGATGACCAGTTAGCTCACTGGGTGAGCGTGGTGCTGACAACACTAAGTCAAGGATTAAGATCCCCTTACCGGTCATCTTTAAAAAAAAAAAAAAAGTTTTCCTTCTGTATTCTAGCTTTCTAGTCCAAATTTACCTGTTTTGTATGTTATAACTAACTGTTGTTCATAGAGGAAAGAAGGGTCAGCAAACTAATTATGCTTCTGATCATATTTAATCACCAAGACTCATGTTTTCATATATATTCCAACATATATACAGGGTACTTCACAAAGTTTTGCGGAAAAATGGAATTGAGTATAATACAAAATCTTTCCTCAAACTTTTTAAAGACCCCTTGTATTTCTATACATAAAATGCTGTATTTCATTAATTTCAAGGCGGATATTATATTCACATTTGAACACCACTCATATCCAGATTGTCAGGGTCCAGGCTTTTACATGCTTCTGCCCCTTCCTGTCATTTCATTTATAGTGCATCATGTGAAATGATGCTTCATTGTGTCACCGTTTCGTGTGGCTTGAACATCTTTCATGCTAATGGCATAATCCTGTGAATATCCATTTCCACACACTCCCTCTTTCTACCCCAGGGATATTAAAAATCATGTCAGAGGCCCTGTGGTGGCAGTCAGTGGCCTTGAAGTGGGAGCATGATGCATCTAAGGAAGTAGTTTAAGGCTGTGTGTTTGGAGCAGAGGAGAGAGTGGGTAGGGCTAGAAACACACATCCTCAGGAACCATTTACTGACCTTTGCCCTCATTCTGTGAGCAAAGGGAACCCTTTGGAGGTTTTGCCTTTTTGTTTGTATCAGAATTGCCTTTAAAAAGAACACTCCCAAAGACTGGATTTTGTGTGTGGGGGCGGAGGGTGTGTTAGGAGAGGATGGCTGTTGGTAGAGAGACCTGTTGCCATGGGTTGAATGGGGTTCATGAAAGCCTAAATGGATAGAGGTAAGAAAATGAAGGTAGTGTGAACAGACAACTTTGAAAAACCTTACTGTCTAGGGAGAAAACAGATCACTGAACTCATTTTTTACTTTCATGTTACTTTCCAGGCCTCTCTGTTCTCTCACTCTCACTTTTAACACCCCCAAAGCAGCCTGGATCCCAGGGTTGTCCTTTCCATCGGATGTCAGTGAGTACTTCCTCTGGGATTTTTGCTTCCCCAAGATCTCAGGCTCACTCGGTCAGAAATCCACCTTGATGAGCGGTGCCGCTGTTTCTGACTCTTCCCACTTTGTTGCCCACCCTCCTCCCCCACAACCAGCCCTACAGAGTGTCTGAAATTTGCAACCGTCCAAATACTCTCAAGTCTTAATGGTTCAAATTCTTCATTGTCTCTTTGATTTATTCTGGTTTTTCTCTTTTTACTGTCACTGCCTCATCATCTTCTGACTGGGCTGTTGTTCCACCTCTGAGTGCTTCAGTTAAAAAAATAGGGATTGTAATACAGGTTCCTACCTGTATTACAAGGTTTGCTAGGAGCATTAATTTAAATGAAATGTGTGGAACCTGTAGCATGAGTGCTTCGGTATTAGTGGGTGTTCTAGATGTCTTCTGTTTTCTACTCACGAATCCATCTCCCTGGCTCCAGTTTTTAGCAACTCCCTTTCATTTTTTATCCTGCTCCCAGAGTTGTGTTCCTTAAATACACTGCTTTTTAAGCACCTTCAGTTTTTCCCCATTACCTACAGTGTAGCCAGACCTCCTTAACTTGGCAGTCCAGGCTCACAGTGTAATCCCATCCTTCACAGTCCAATCCTTTCTACCTTTATAGTTTTGACTCTCACAAGCCTTCCTTGCTTCTTATGTCTCAGCTACATTGACTACTGGATGTTGTCCAAAAAATCTATTTTGACTTTGTTTTTGTGGTCTTTGGATGAGTGCCTTTTTTTACTTTCTCCTTATCCCCTGATTGACAGTAAATCAAAATTTTATTAATATATTTGATAGAATTATTACATATGTATATGTATATAACAAATATATGTATCTCATAAGCTTTTTATCATTACAAGGCGTAGCATGAGGTCAGCTCTACCATCTTTTAGATATATTATCTTGTTGGTAAGTAACTTAAACTCTCTAAACATGTGCATTTTCATCTGTTAAATGAAGTGGGGTTTTAATGGATGCTCATTGTTTCTGCCCTTTGTAAAGGCCTTGGCTTGAACTTAATTATAACCCAGAAAAAGTGATTCTATGAGAACTGAGATAACTCACCCAGATCACTGCTTTGTTTTTTGTTTTTTGTTTTTTTTGGTGTCTGGCAGGTATGGGGATCCAAACCCTTGACCTTGGTGTTATAACACTGTGCTCTGACCAACTGAGCTAACCGGCCAGTCCCCCCCCCAGATCAATTTTAAGTTCTAACTTAAAGAATTTAGATGCATGATTAGTTAACAGAATTAGAGTGAAAGGAATTAGTGTGAGTGCCAAGCACTTTATGTACGTTTGTCATTTAATCCTTTGAAACCTCCACAGGTAAGTAGGTACTTTACAGGTGAGAAAATTGAGGATTAGAAAGGTTATTTGCCAGAGATATAAAGCTATCAAGCTCTCCCACAAACAGCAATGGCTGATCGACAGTGTGTGCTTTAGCTTTTGTCAGTTGTGGTTTCTTTTCTTCATAGTGATTATTCTCCAGACTGTAGACTATTTACTCTAGACAGTGTGGAAAAAAAGTTTTGGTTCAGCATACGTGTTATCCTGGGGTTTGTGTGCTTTCCCTTTCTCTCCTGGACAGTATTTCTATTTAAACTTCATTGTACCCATAAAAATAATATTTGGTTTTCTGTTATTGTGTTTTATTTTCCTAGGGTTATAAAGTAAGTTATGTGTGTGCACTGTATTTAATTAAACAGAAAGCAAATGTTTAACAGAACAGGAAAGACATGAAATTCATGGCAGCTAAATGCATACTCTTATTGCATTATTTATCACTTTTATGTCTGGAGTCCTGTATTTTTCCAAGTCAAGGATCTCTGTGCTTTGAGTTAAGCAGTAGTGGTGGTTATAGAGGTAGTAGCAATAATAACAAGATCAGCGGCAACAGCTAACACTGAGCTATTATGTGCACTACTGTATGTGTCTTACTATATTTCTAAGTGCTTTACTTGTATTAGCTTTTTTAATCCTTTCAATAACCCTTGGAGATAGGTAATATCATTCTCTCCATTTTATAAATGAAGAAATCGAGGCATAGAAAGGGAAAGAAACTTGCCCAAGGTCACATAGCTAGGATATATACTGTGCCGACTTGACAGTTCTAAATCTGAATTAATTTGAATTTATATCGTTAATCAGTTAAAAACATTATTATTATTTATTTTTGTCTTTTAAAAGATGACCAGTAAGGGGATCTTAACCCTTGACTTGTTGTTGTCAGCATCACGCTCTCCCAAGTGAGCTAACTGGCCATCCCTATATAGGGATCCGAACCTGTGCCTTGGTGCTATCAGCACCACACTCTCCCAAGTGAACCACGGGCTGGCCCTTAAAGACATTATTGAAATATCTTCCAATTAATGTGTTGCTATCTTTTTTCCTGGGAATTGGAGGACTCACTGCACTTTCTAGGGGCATTGGTAACAGATTATCTTCAATGCCAAAATGACTAGGTCTGGTGGGGTTATATATAAATCACTTGAATTACTGAAATACACTCAAGGAGCTAAAGCAATCCTTCCTATATGCTGACAATAATACTTTGAAAATGTAGGTATGAAAATACTACAGATTCATGCAGATGCTGTAATTCTACAGAATGTCATTGAAATTGAAAATTGTATATGTTAAGTACATATACATAGCTGGGGAAATATGTCATTTTAGATTACAGCAGATAAGGGATTTTTGAAGCGTTTGGCAGTTATGCTACTAGGTAAATCAAACACCTTTTCTATTTAGTAAGCAGTACTATTGTATTCTAAAATTGCATTTTTCAGGAAGAAAGTTTGAGCTAATAGAAACATTTTTATAAGTTTGGAGAAATTTGTATTGGGTAAGAAATAATGCTATGTAATATATTTTAATGCCTTTATATTAAACTCAGTATTTTTTCCCCTTCTTTTTTTTAGTTCTTCACCAATGAACATGGATGAAAATGAAAGCAACCAGTCCCTGATGCCAAGCAACCTATATCCTAAAGAAGCAGTAAGAAAACGCCAAAATTCAGCACGAAATTCTGGAGGAAGTGATTCTTCTAGGTTTTCCAGGAAAAGCTTCAAACTGGATTACAGACTAGAGGAAGATGTGACTAAGTCAAAGAAAGGAAAAGATGGAAGATTTGTTAACCCTTGGCCAACATGGAAAAATCCCTCTATTCCAAATGTTCTCAGATGGCTAATAATGGAGAAAGATCACAGCAGTGTTCCATCTTCTAAAGAGGTAGTGCTTGGCTTTTTTGAGTGCTTCGTATTTACTCTTAATACATATTTTACTTAGCTTTGCTGTGAATTGTAGTACGATATTCAAGTTAGTTAGTTGAATCCTTTTATATAAGGTGATGCTGGAGATGCAGCAGGTTCTTGGATTTCCTGAGGGAAGAACCCCATTGAAAATCCACAGTAACTCCAAGTCCACACAGCAGTGTCACATTCACACTCAAAGTTTATTGCAAAGCCAAAGTACATGCAGGAGAATGCACGGGCATCCTCGCGTTCTGTGAACTCTTAGGGAAGGGTTTATACGTTGTTCTAGGATGGGGGTGTTTCTCTATCTTAACTAAGGGGAGGAATATTTAAGAAAAAGGGGGAGGGAAAGGGGTTTGGGTGTCTTTTTTGCCTGAGCGAGCTCTTTTCTAAGAATCAAGGAAAAAGGGGGCTTTTTGGTGCTTTGTGGTTTTGTTTCTTGCTCAGAAAACTACAAGGCTCTGAAGAAGGGCAAACTGATTGGTATCTTGGTGAAGCTGCTGTTTGTTTGCTCAGCCTGAATATCCATGAGCAGCCTCCCTAGGGCGAGTCCCTGTTCTATCATCCTTAAAGGTGTAGGAGTAAGTTCTGAGGAGATAAAATGAATATGTGTAACCCATGCCTTCAAATTCATAGTTCAGCAGCAAAGTACATGTATTTATAACTAACTCTGATCTGGTGGCAGCTAGAGATAGGAACAGAGTGCTTTAGAGGTGCAAGAAAGGAAGTGATTGATGCTGTCGGGTAGAGTTGGAGATGGCTTCATAGAGGAGGTGATATTTAAGCTGGGCCTTGAAAACTGAGAAGTACTTTGATAGTGGTTTTTCAGGTCAGTATGGCATGAACGATGGTCACAAAGGTAAGAACGTGTTCCAGAAAGAAAGAACCTGCTGTATTTGGAATGTGGATTATGAGAGTTAAGGCATGGCCTAGAATGCTTGGCTTTTATTGCTTGGGTACAGTTGCCAAACCTGTAACAAGAATCTTCAGATGACTTTCCAGACTTTTAAAATTTGACTGTAGGTTACTAGCCTTTAAATGTGCTAATTTTACTTAGGTGAAACTTACTAACATTTGGCATAAAGATAGTTAGATGAATGAGATTGGTTCCCAATTGCAGTAGCACCTTTTTTTCCTTTCTCCTTTTTTCCTTTCTACCCCCACCCCAATCTTCCTTGGCCTGTCCTCCTCACCAGCCCCTGTCCTGCCATACTTTGTGGGAAGTTGAGAGATAAGGAGCCTGACCTGAGTGAGGTTGGGATGAAAAGAGAGGCAGCATCCCTGAAGGCTTGGTCTGCAGTGGGAAGAGGCAGGAAGGTGTGGGGGTGAGGCTGGTTGATAGTATTGGGTGTTGGTGTTGGTATTAGATCTACATTCGTGTCCATTTATCTTCAAAGGATATGGGATTGAAAACCTGATATCACTTTGATGCTAGGGAATGTTCTTTAGTATTAATGCTAGTTACCAGAATTGTTTAATATTTTTTAGCACTTTTTTAGAATGAGGGAGGACATTAATAGATAAAACCTTACATGTTTTCTTCTTTGAAGATGGGACCAAGGAACAAGAAAGGTAGTTTTTCTTTCTCTCTCTCTCTCTCTCTCTTTTTTCTCCGGAGAAACCAATATGAAGAGAAACATCGAATCAAGTTGTGAAGAGGAGGGTTAGGGCAGAAAGCCAGGGGTAAATTACCTCCTGGTTTGTAAGCCACAGCTTCTAAAAATATAGAGGTTAGTAATGGTGTCTTTAGTTTTGTTTTATTTCAAAGAGTAAATGGCCATGTGAAGGCGGATACATCTCTCCATTCTAGTGATTTGAGAGATATTGTAGAAACTGGGTTGAAACTCGGAGGACTCAACAGACCGGTGGTTCTTAAGTTCTTTTGTATACTGGCCTGTTTTGAGAATCTGTTGAAAACTGTGGACCCTCTTCTTATAGGAATATACACATGCAAATAAATACATTACTATTTGTTATAATTTCAGGGCATTCTCAAGCCCTTGGACCCTCTCAAGCCTGTCTATTAACTCATGCATTTATTTAGCGAGTATTTATTGAGCACTTGCTATGTATTGCACAGACTGTTTTATGTGCTTTAAATATAAAGCAAATTTTAAAAAAAATGACAAAGGACACATTATGTCTCAGTATGAGACACTGCATAAAAACAAATTCAGCATCACATAAAAGAAGAGAGATGGCACCTTTGCACTATTCCAATTTATATTTTATTTCTAATATCTTACCTGCAAGGGTACTTAAAGTTTGTAGAAAAATAGAGTTAAAAGTTAATATGAATCTTTCCACGAACTTTTTGAAGATGCCCTTGTATTTCTTGTTTCCTTCTTGTTTCCAGTGAAAGCCCAGAACTAGATTAAATGATTGTTGACTTCTCTTATTTTCATAGATAACAGTAACTCACTCTGTGTGCCCTTTAAATAAATTGCCAAAATGATTAACTGTTACTAACTCCCAAATTAGTGAGAGAATTTTACATTTTTCAAAAAAACATATTAAGGGGCCTGCCCCGTGGCTCACTCGGGAGAGTGTGGCGCTGGTAGTGCCGAGGCCGCAGGTTAGGATCGGATCCTATGTAGGGATGGCCGGTGCGCTCACTGGCTGAGCGTGGTGCGGACCGCACCCTGCCGAGGGTTGCGATCCCTTTACCGGTCAAAAAAAAAAAATATTAAGAACTATGTGAAGAATACCTTTTTAGATCATTGGGTAGACTCAGAATTTAATCAGATTTCTGGAAGTTCTTTTTGTTAGACATTGGGAACCTAGACTTTAGTAAATAAACCACAACTTCAAATTAGTTTTTTGGAAGGAGACAGAATATATTATCTATAGGATAATTATTATATATTATGCTATTTATATCATATTACGTTATAGTATATTGTATGTATTTAGGTATATAAATATGAAAGTATTTTGGAGAAACATGATTCAAGTATAAAAACATAGAATAGGTCTAATAAAATGAGGATGGGACATGAGCAGAGCTACACAATTTAATTGCCCAGTGAGAAAACAGTGTTTCTTTACTTGGACTGCTCCTAATATTTGCCTTTTCTGGGTCATTAGAGCAGTATGCTGGTTCACAGGCTGTTCATGGTTCTGATGCTGTCCTTGCTTCATGTGGTTGCACTTGGTTCAGTGACCTTGTCTGATTGTTATTGTTGATGACAGTCACCAATAGTCTGGGGAACAGAGACAATTGGAGAGTTTCAAAGAGGGAGGGAGGGAGGCAGGCATTTGCTGAGTAATTTTGTAATCCATCTCTGCTTATTCTCCCCACCTGGTCCCCAGGCTGCTACTTTTTTTTTTTTCTTAAGTATGTATTAAATGAGATTTAACAAGCATAAATTTAGTGGTGGAGGCAGTAAACATGGAGGCTGGCTAGGTGACCTTGTGTGAGCGCTATACCTTCTCTAATTCTTTGTTTTCTCATCTGTAAGATGAAGATAGTTAATAGTATTGGGCCGGCCTGGTGGCGCACTGTGATAGTGCGCCGCTTGGGAAGCGCGGCGGCGCTCCCGCCGAGGGTTCGGATCCCACATACAGACCGGTTCCCGCTCACTGGCTGAGCGAGGCGCGGGAGCAACACCAAGGGTTGTGATCCCGTTGCCGGTCCCGGTCTGGTACGGGGGCGACACTGAGGGTTGCGATCCGTTACCGGACACGGAAAAGGACAAAAAAAAAAAAAAAATAGTATCTACCTCCAGTATTATAGTCAGTATTAAAATTTTAAATTCTTAAGAAGTAGTTAGTGCAGTGTCTAGCACATAGTAAGCACTCCAAAATGGTAGCTATTGGTAATATTTTTTTTTGTTTTATTAAAGTACTTGAAATGTTAATTTATCATCATCATTATTATGTGCCCAGTATGATGCTGAACACATTGTAAGTAGTCAGTTTTTATTCATTTCCTCTCTCTTTCCTCCTTAATTATTGATAAGTACACCATATGGCATTTGTTATTGTTCACAAACGTAACTACCAAATTTGAGAAATAATTGAAAATTGACATTCGTTCATTTACTCAACAAATTTTATTGAGCACAGGCTGTGTTTCAATCACTGAACCAGGCACTGTGGATGAGTCCAAGTTGCGTATGAAATGGGATAAATCCTGTATACATGTAACCAGAATATGCAGAGATATGTGAACTGAGAGGCAGGAGTGAGTGCTTCAGGGATGACCTCATGAAGAGTGGGCAATTTGATTATGGAGTGGGGAGAGGGAAGCAATTTAACCTGAGAAATGGGGTCAGTACTGTGCAGGGTTCTCAAGCTCAATCCAGGAGTGGGAAGTAGTTCCCATGCAGGCAGGACCCAGATCACACGTAGAGGAGTAGCGTGAAACAGAGCTGGAGAGAATTGAGGCAGTCCCCGGACAGCCTACTGCTGGGCTAGGGAGGTGAGACAGATTTGTCCGGCAGTGGAGAACCAGTGAAGATTTTTTCTTCAGGGGAGAGAGTTATACCTGAAGTAGACTGTTTTGGGGGTAGCTCTTGTGCATGGGTTGAGTTGATAGGAAGACAGTTGAGCAATCAGGGGAGCTTCGAAGTATGTGGGTGTTGGTTAGGGTCTTAACTAGGTTAGTGGCTATGCAAAAATGCAAGAGATCGATAGGATTGGTCCTGATTAGTTGTCAGCATTGGAACTTGCTTTCTTCTTTTGGAATACCCGTAGAGTGCTTATTATGTGCCAGCTACTCATAATGCAGTCCTCACACCAATGAAGTTGTAGATGCTACAATTATTACCCATTTTCCAGATGAGGAAACTAAGGCTTAGAGTGGCCAAGAGAAATCTGTGTCATCCTCCACCTATGGGGCTTCTTCTCTTCCCCTTCCAGCCTTCTTCCCATTCAGACTCTCCCAGTGACTTCTCAGTTTTCCTTCACCAGCATCTCCCCATCTGCCCTCTCTTCTCTCTGCCCACTGCTGTCTCTTTTCTTCAGGTCCTCATCTCTTCACAACGTGGCAACTGTTGTGACACCCTCCAGGTCATCATTCCAGGACTCTAGAATTGTTTTATCTGAACATAAACAGGGTCAAATCTCTGTGTGTGTGTGTGTGTGTGTGTGTGTGTGTGTGTTTATGTAAAAAGATGCTTGCTCATTGTGTCTGGGTGATGTATAGCACTCAAGGTTCTTACTGTACTCTGATCCTTTATAGATTTAGTTTGTCCCCTGCCCCCAAACACCACATTTCTTTGCTTGAGTAGTTTCTCCACCTGAAATGCCCTTCTTCCTTTTCTCTGCATCCTGAATTTCTCATCATTCTTCAGGAACTCACACAAGGAATTGTGTCTGTGATGTCTTTGGCAACTGGCTTATTTATTCCTTCTTATTAGGCTATAGTCCAGCCTGTCTTTTATTTAATTACTTATCCAATATGACATCGTTTTCAAAAATTGGTTTGTGGCAACTTAGAAAAATACACGTAGCAGTAAAAAACAAGGGATGAGCCCATAAGAGCAAATAGACTATTTAGGGTAGAAAATAAAATAAAGCCAAGAGAAAAGTACAGAAATGTGTTCCATCATTGCCGTGCATGTTGCCAGAGGTGGTCTCAGCTTTTACTCTGAACTTCCTAGCAAGAGAGAAGAAGCATGAACTGTTAAGGGTTTTCCCAGTAACAGTCAAGACAAAGCCAGTTGCTCTGGAGAAGGAGAGTGTGACTAAGGATTGAGAGAAGTGTTTCTGGGGTAAGTGGGAAGGTGGAGCTGGTACAAGTCTTCAGACCCAGTACATGCATGGCGGGTTTCGTGAGGAGGCTTCCTGTAAGAGACTCTGATGCAGCTGGGAATATCACGACACCAAAGCACGATTTAGTAAAGCCGTTTTATAAAAGCCAGGGCTGTGTCCCTAAAACACAGCTTTTTGTTGTCTAGCTTAATCCAAATATAAAATGTAGAATAACCAAAAGAATAATACTTTTCACACTTTGTTGTAGTTATTGTTTGACATCTGTTTACCCCCCAAAATGATCAGCTTCCTACTGGCAGGGATCATATTTCACTTGATTTGATCAGTGGTAGAAAATCTTAAGGGTAGGGAATAAGGAGAACCGTTTATGACTGATTTGCCAAGAGTCGTCACAGTGGTTCATTTTGAATTATATGTACTCAGAAAGTCAGATTTATATCTGAGATCCAAGAGCTACAAATAAATGGTCATAAGCGTTCTTTACTGTTTGCAGGGACTGACCTGCTTCTGAGACAGTTTATAGCAGCAAATACACCAGCTGAGTGAAATGGCAATAGCAAAATGAGTGTATTTAGGATAGTCTACTTCTAGCACAACAGAAGAGTCTTTAAAAAATTAATAACTTCAGCAGTACTCAGAGTCTTAAATTTAATTTTCCCTTTGCCTATTGCATTTGCAACTAAGAAGATTACTACATTGTCATGATTTTTAAGTCAGATTCAGAAAAAAAGTATGCATTTTCAAGAAAAAAGCAAAAATCACAAGTTTACTGGATGACTTTGGTTCTCCCGAAATAGCTCTTCTTGCTATAATTTAGGTCAAAATATGTTCTGTAATGATATACCTTTTTCTGCCCCTAACTGCTGCTTTATCTTTCTTTATACACGTAGGAACTTGACAAAGAACTGCCAGTGCTTAAACCATATTTTATAGATGCTCCTGAAGAAGCTGGAGTGAGAGAGGCTGGTTTAAGAGTCACATGGCTGGGCCATGCGACGGTAATGGTGGAAATGGATGAGCTCATTTTTCTTACGGATCCCATCTTCAGCTCTCGTGCTTCACCATCACAGTACATGGGTCCAAAGCGATTTCGTCGTCCCCCATGCACAATAAGTGAACTCCCCCCAATAGATGCAGTCCTGATCAGTCACAACCACTATGACCACCTGGACTACAGTTCTGTCATTGCTTTGAATGAACGATTCGGTAATGACTTAAGATGGTTTGTCCCTTTGGGTCTCCTCGACTGGATGCAAAAATGTGGCTGTGAGAATGTGATTGAGCTGGACTGGTGGGAGGAGAATTGTGTCCCCGGACATGATAAGGTCACCTTTGTCTTTACACCTTCCCAGCACTGGTGTAAAAGGACTCTAATGGATGACAACAAAGTTCTTTGGGGCAGCTGGTCTGTCTTGGGGCCTTGGAATCGATTTTTTTTTGCAGGAGATACTGGTTATTGCCCAGCTTTTGAGGAGATAGGAAAAAGATTTGGACCTTTTGACCTTGCGGCTATTCCCATTGGAGCTTATGAACCAAGGTACGTAGAATTCCAAAGAAAATATTCCTGCTAGATAATAAGTTAAGTGCACTTAAAAGTAAAGTAGTTATGATTTTGTGATATTGTGTTATTTGTGATTTTAATGGTGGACTTTGTAATATACATTGGGTGGGAGTTAGTGGTCAGATTCAATTATGTTGTTTTTTTAATTTTAAAATATTTAAAAATTTTTAGCATTTTTATTGACAAGTAAAAATTGTATATATTTATGGTGTACAACATGATGTTTTGATATATGTATACATTGTGGAATAGCTAAATTAAGCTATTCAACATGTCCATTACGTCACATACTTATCATTTTTTTCATGGTGAGAATTAAAATATTTTAATCACAGTCATATCGGTTAAAGTTACTCAAAATCAGAAATGACATTAGAAGAAAAAAGGACCAAGGTTTAAAGAATTACTATACCTAGTCAGAAGTTCATGTACCATTCCAACTAAAGTTGAACTGACCAGACAATAATTAAACCTAACTATTGTTCTTTCTTTCACATGGAGGGTACTTTTTTGGCCTCTTTTTACTCAAGGACTAGGCACAGTGGAAGGCCTGACCTGTATTTTAAGGTGTGGAGGGATACTTCTATTATAACCACTTTTTGCTGCATGAAGAAAGTACCAGTCCCTGTCGTATAGCTCTTCTGTGTTTAGCAGAGAAGGAAGGAATCAGCCTATGGCATTAGTTCCATGTGATTGTCTTAGTCAATATTGAGGTTGATCTAGTCGTGACGTTGTTGCACGACTAACGCTCACCCTCATTGTTGCACTGCTCATCCTCCCACCCCTGTGTGCTTATCACCTATCTTCAGGGCAGCTAAAGGTCACACTATCATTGGAGACATAGGAGACCCATCCACTGTCTGTGTTTTCCTTAGTACTGTCTGGTTAGGGAAAAGAAGTGATTTCTTTTTTTTTTTTTCCTTTTTGTCTTTTTTTCTGACCCGTAACGGGATTGCAACCCTCAGTGTTGCGCCCGTACCGCGACCGGCAACGGGATTGCGACCGGCAACGGGATCGCAACCGGCAATGGGATAGCAACCCTCGGAGTCGTGGCTTCACCGCGCTGAACCAGTGAGCAGACCGGTCTCTATATGGGATCCGAACCCTCAGCGGGAGCGCCGCCGCACTCCCAAGCGGCTCACTCTCCAGTGCGCCACCGGGCCGGCCCAAAAAAAGTGATTTCAAATAATTCAGTCAATTCTGGTTTATATGTATAAAGGAAAACAAACACTGATAATAACAAAGTAAAGCATAATTTTTTAAATGCTTTATTTTAGAGTGCATACACAAATACATATAAATGCATTTATTTAGAATGCAGTTCTACAAGCAGAACAACAAATGTTTCTCCAATATATAGATGAATTGAATGAATCCAATCTTTTGTTTCCATCTGATTTTGTTATACTTATTTAGTAGTTAACTTTTTAAGTTCACTAAAACCATTTTTCCCTATCTTTATTGTTGTTTATTTCTCCCTTTTATGTTTTTTGCTAGTTTCTCTATTTTGGGGCTAGATACTTTTAGTATTTTTTGGTTCTGGATAATTATTAATAATTATTATAAATCAATATTGGTGCTTGAATTTCACTTACATCATTCTAATGAAACTTCTCAAAACATCAATCAACCTATTTTTCAGAACTGTTACAAATCAATTTCATATGGTATTGGTCTTTACTCAATATATATTCATAATATATTAGAATATACTTAACGTCAGAGTAAAAATTTTAAAATTTATTTCAGATAGACATGAGGATAGAAAGGAATCTACCTGTTCCTTTGATTTGCCATAGCATTTTCTAAAAAGTCCATAGAAAGAAACCAAAAGCTGTTTTCATCTTGGCCTGAATTCTGAGTGTCAGGAGATGTGGCCCAACAGTACATGTCCAATCTGCTAATTAGGAGAACACAGTGGCTTTGTTTTTAGGCTCCCATAGGACCCAGCAACTCCTAACAATGAACAACCCTCTAGCTATTGCAGATGGGTGAATTCTCTATGATGTTTTCTCTAAAGTGCAGAAGCCCCTATGCTGCATCCATATACATTGGTCTTAACCGTAGCATTAGTTCCCAGTAGCAGACCGAGATACAAATAATGTGAAGACAGCGTTATTTTTCCTCCTCTAAATCGATGGCTTGGAAAGCAAAGGATTTGCTTATAGATAGTACGATTTTTCCTTTGTATCAGAAATTATAGTTCTTTTTTCTGCAAGTGTTGGTTTTGTCAACTCTTTACTCTTTTGGGAGAATTCTGTGAAGTAGGTGCTGTACTTGATGCTTTCATAAATCTTGTCTTGTTTAATCCTCACCATACCCTTACGAGATGGGTTTAAATATATATTGCACAGACAAGGAAATGGAAGCTCAGAGAATTGGAAGGGACTTTTCAAAGGCATTCCAAGAGCTGCAAGAGCTGGGGTTCATATTTAAGCCTTCAGCCTCCTGAGCCCTTGTTCTTTCCAAAGCACTAGGCAGGCTTTCAGTGTTTCTACAGAATCTCTAATCTTTCACCTATCACATTTCTCTTCTTGCCAAACCAAATACCCCACTGTTCAGTTTCATGATGTTTAAATAAAATTCCTTGGATAGCAATTGGATTTTTTTGCTGCCAATATTTAAATTTTATACACTTTTTGTTTGCTTTTCACTTTAGCAATTTAAAAAAAATTGTTTCAGTAGGACGTTCAGGTTCTTTTGCAATTGGAGTTTTGATTTCCAGTTCTTTAGCCATTATTCAGTTTTTTTGATTTATACCCAGGACTGCAGAATATCTACTTTTGAAAGTAATAGTAAGTCATATCTTTAGAATAAATAATCAGTAAAATCAAAATATAAATGAAACAAAATTTTACTGTTCAGAGGGGAGTTTTGCTTGGGACTTATTTAATAAGTCCCAATCTGTATAAGAAAGATTTTTGCTTGTTTTATGTTTCAGCAGAAAAGTGGACTAAAGGGAGATGGTTTTGCCTAGTATGATTTATTCCTGTGCAGAATCTATGTTTTTTTTGTTGTTGGTGTTTGTTTTTTTACAGTCTAGCCCTGACCTAGCCTCTAGACTTGGTTTCTAGCTCATCCTACCCAGCATTGCATATATTGTATCTCAGTGGTTCTCAACTCTGGCCACACATTGGACTCACCTGGGTGGCTTTTAAAAATGCCAATGCCCAGGATCCCACCCTAGAAAAATTAAATCAGAATCACTGAGAATGCAAGCTGGGTAGCAGTATTTATTAAAAGTTGTCTAGATGACGGGCTGGCCCGGTGGCGCACTGCTACAGTGCGCCGCTTGGGAGCGCGGCGGCGCTCCCACCGAGGGTTTGGATCCCACATACAGACTGGCCGCTCACTGGCTGAGCGAGGTGTGGGCGCAACACCGAGGGTTGCGATCCCGTTGCTGGTCCCGGTCCGGTCCGGGCGCGACACTGAGGGTTGCGATCTGTTGCCGGTCACGAAGAAAGACAAAAAAAGGAAAAAAAAAAAAAAAAGTTGTCTAGATGAGTCCAGTCTGCATAGGTGAGTCCAGTGAGAATGGCTGAAAAGTGGTTGAGAGTACTACATGTTGCTGTTTCTGTTGGCAGTTTAGCTTTATTCTTAGGTGTACTGATTTCAAAATCAAATTAAGGAATAGAGAGGAGGAGTGAAAATAAACACACTAAGCTTCTTATTTCTCAAACATCCATAGTCCTGTGCAGAATCTTAAAGGTTGATTAGATGAAATTGTAATTTGAATTTAGTGTATATTTCAAAGACCAGAAGTAATAAATTGCTGTGTTTCATCAGGTGGTTTATGAAATATCAGCATGTAGACCCAGAAGAAGCTGTAAGGATTCACATTGATGTTCAAGCAAAGAAATCTGTGGCAATTCACTGGGGAACTTTTGCCTTAGCAAATGAGGTAAGTTTGATCATGATAAAAATAACTTTGATTATGTGTTTGACCAATGATAGGATTCAGGCATCACTGTAGCCTGGTGTTAGTGTCACAGACCAGACTGTGGAATCAGACCCTGCATAGTCATCACAGTCACCATTATTAGGGCGGTAAATCATACTAATTAGTAAAACAACATTCACGTGCATTGAAAAAGTCTCATTGCATGATGTCTTTTTGGCTTATTTTTGTGGTTAACAAAGCATGTGTTATATAACCAAAAATCTGTGTGTGTAGTCTGGAGAGTAGAAAAACAAACCATTGTCTTCCTCCTCAAGCAGGCTCTAGTGTAGTGGAAGATAGAAGCCAAGTACGCAGTACAGATGTCGGAAGAGGGAACTGCTGTAATGTGGGACAGATGAAGTGGTCTCATAGTCAGGGATGGTTACCAGTGGGAGGGGTCAGGGAGAGCTTTGTGGACGAAGTGATGCTGGAACTTGAGGAGGCCAGGAGGAAGGCATTTCCCAAGGAAGAAAGGGCTGAGCGTAGGCTTGGAGGCAGCAAGCATGGCAAGGAGTCAGTTCAGCCAGAGAATGGATGACTTGGAAGGCAATGGAAGAGGTAAGGCTAGACAGTGTGGAACTTTCTAGAAATATGTTATTTATCACTAAACATTGATTCAGTATTTGTTATGTGCTAGGCATTGGGATAAATGTGGTTTCATTCCTAGACTAAAACAGAAGAGCTGATTTTTCCTTAGAGCTGGACCCTAGAACTCTGCTGCTAGCCAGTGTTCTAGGATCAAGCAGAGGATAACACAAAGCTTTCTCTCCTTTCCTGGATCCAGGGCCTGTCTCTATGCAAAATTTATTTGGAACTTGGTTTCTTTGCTTTCTGTGGCATCTTCCACATCCCAAGGCATCTCTGCAGGAACCCAGTGTTTTCTTGCTGGTCTAAGCGCTTCCCCTCTCTCATTTCTGGCCTGCCCTCTCCCAAGGATGGTCCAAAATGATGTAATACTGCCTGCCCATTCCCTCCACCCCCCAATCAAAATACCCATCCGATGATGCAGCAATTCTTAGCCACAGTGTTGAGAGAGGGAGTAAAATGAATAAATGAAAACCACAGAGCGGGGGAAGATGAATGAGTGTGTGTGAGTGAGTGAGTGAGTGAGTGAGTGTGTCTGTGTGTTTGGGGAAGGGGGAAGTTTGAGACTGGTTTCCAGTGACATACCACTATATTTGGTGGCAATTTCTTATTCCATTTGTATATATATGAGATGAAGTAATAGTATTTGATTCAACATATATACAAAGAAAGGAATCAAGGTTGACTCCTAGATTTTTAGCTTGAGTAATTGGGTAGACAGTTGTGTTCTTTACTGAGATGGGAAGATGGGAACAGGATCAAAAACCTGTGTTTAAGAATTACTGTGTTATTCAGCCTTCAAGAATTATTCCTGTTATAAATCTAACCTCCATCTTTACTTCTTAATGAGACATGTAATAAAAACTTACTAAGCCTTTAGCAATTTGGAGTTTGTTCACATTTTGATGTTAGTTGAGTAAATGTGACAACTGAGTTTGTTAAATTATAAAGCAGAGAGAGGCTGGCTGGTTCGCTTAGTTGGTTAGAACCAAGGTCCAGACTTCAATCCTTGTACTTGCCAGCCACCAAAAACAAACAAAAAACCAGAGAGCCTATGATCTCTAAACACTTTGACTTTGCATATAAGCAGTTGCAATAGCTGTTCACTGTAATGTAAACAGATTAAGGATGTCCTTAACCAGGGAACACTCTAAAATTGCACACAATGGTACTTCAAACAAAAAGTTCATGGAAAGATTCGTATTATCTTTTAAGCCTATTTTTCCACAAACTTTTTGAAATACGCTTGTATATAGCAACATCTAATTTATCTAAGGAATGATGAGCAGATTTTCTAGATGATATATGTAAGCACTAAAACTTAAATCACTAGTTTTGATGGAAACAAATTTTAAGCATTACGTAATATATAAGATAACTTTTTAAGTGACCAGGGTCTTTATTTTGAATATATCCTGTTGTAGTCGATCATAAAATAGCGACTCCTTTAGGAACCTACGAGGTATCTGTGGTTCCCTGGCCCTTAATGGATCCTGGGGCTCTTCTGCTTTCCCCACTTCCTCTTGTGATCTCTGATCCACTGTCCTGCTTTATTCATAGTTGTTTGGTCCTGTGGTTATGGGGCATTTTTATCTCTTGTAGACTGAAGTGCCCAGACTGAGCTTTCACTCAGAAGCCGTTCTTTACTTCTGGGTTTATTTTCTAGATGTTTTAACAGCCAAGAATTGACCAGTAAAGAAACTCAGAAAGATACTGCTTAATCTGGGCAGATTAAAGACAAAGTTGTCTACTGTCAACTAAAACAACATCAAAATCCACACTGAAGTTATCTGTTGGCAAAGAAATTTTTTGTGAAGGTGACCATTTATGTGGATTGTTGGCCAAGAATTGTAGAGCATGGCAGAAAAATAATTTAACAAAAGTTAATTTTCACTGGGAAAGAATTTAATCAGTTTGAAATCTCTTAAATGAAAATAGTTTAGGGAATTATTTTGGGGGGAATTTTTTGATTTAGACTATTATTTAAAGTTAGGTTTTATTGGTGATATGTCGTCAGTGATCTCCTTTCTATATGAATAAAATAGACTTAAAGTAGATTTTTCTTTTTTTTTTTTTTCCTTTTTGTCTTTTTTTTTGTGTGTCCGGCAACGGATCGCAACCCTCAGTGTCGCGCCCGTACCAGACCGGGACCGGCAACGGGATCGCAACCCTTGGTGCTGCGCCCACACCTCGCTCAGCCAGTGAGTGGGAACCGGTCTGTATGTGGGATCCGAACCCTCGGCGGGAGCGCCACCGCACTCTCAAGCGGCGCACTGTAGCAGTGCGCCACCGGGCTGGCCCAGATTTTTCTTATACAGTCTATTAATAGGTGGTTATCTCTAGTAATATTGGGTAACCAAGGTATAGTTAAAACTTAAGTTATTAAGTAGTCAGTTGAAAGGCATCATTCATCCTTTAAACACAGCCATAGACCAGAAGTGAGTAAGGGGGAAAAAGACCTGTGTGGGGCCAATAATTATTACCAAAGCCGTGCATTTTAGTTAAGCCTCAGGCAACTTTCCTGGTTTTCCTTGCACGTCATTGGCTGTGCCTTCTAAGTCTCTCTTACTAGTTCCTTATTTCCCCTCCCTTTAAATATTGAGTGCCTTAGGAATCAATACATGGACCTCTTCTTTTCTCTAGTTGGTTATTCTTTTGAGGAATCTCATCTTGTCTATGGCTTTAAATACCATCTATCTGCTGTACCTCTCTAGCTCAGATTCCCCTGCTGTAATCCATATTTATATATCCAGCTGCCTGCTTGACATCTTGGATGTCCATTAGGTACCTAGAACTAATGAAACCAAACTTCCTCAAACTCATTTCTCATACCTCTCAGTAAAGAGAAATTCCTACTTTTCTTGACTCTACTTATCCGGTTTTTGCTCATGTCTATCCATATACACACAATCAGCTCAACTTTCAGATTATATTTAGAATTTGACCACTTCTCACCACCTTCACTGCTATCACTTTGCCCCTTAAAGTTTGTTTTCCACACTGTAGAGGGCAGTGACCTTTACAGCTTGAATTGGATCATGACCCTTCTCTGCCAGTGACCTGGTAGCTTCCCTTTGCACTCAGAGTCAAAGCCTTAGCACTCACAGTTGCCCACAAAGCCCTATGCATTCTGCTCCATCAGGTTTTTGTTCAAATGTCACCTTCTTGGAGACTTCTTAGACTGTTGCATTTAAAATTAAATCTCCATCCCCCACACTTATCACCCCGCTTTGTTCTTCCCAGAACATATCAACCACTCAGATACTATATGTTTTCTTATCTATTCACTTGTCTATCTCTGTATTAGAATGTAAGCTCCATGGAGGCAAGGATTTTTGTTTGGTTCACTAGCCTGGCATGTCCTGTAGGTGCTCAAAAGACACATGTTGCAGAAGAGAGGCAGACTTCCCACTGGTGATGATCAGACACTGTTTGGTTTTTATTCCGGCTTTATACTTCCACATTTTAAAACTTTTCTAATTGAAATTAGAGAAAAAACCCTTTGAATAAAGAAAAAAAATAGCTGTTATACAGTGTAAAGATTTAGACCAGAAGAGAAGTAACTGATGAAATGATTTATCTTTTATACCTTTTAGTAATAACTATTTTATTCCATATTGAAGTGGTCTCTATTTGGAGAACATTCAAGTGGGTGTAAACATTGTGCAACATACTGTGTGCTGTCTTTTTTTTAATTAAGCTATGAAAAGGTGAGGAAGTAAATATGAAAACTCCACCTGTTGTATCTCTATTCTCCAGGCCCCTCTTTCATTTTGTAGAATACGGTTTCTATACTTGGCTAGAGGTTTTGAGGATAACAACCCTTCTTCAGCCAAAAATACTTGCTATAGCATTTGCTAATACACACACACAATCACACAATCTCAGATTTTATATTTTTCAGAAATGTTGGTAGCATAATTCTCTAATATCATCAACTTTGGCATTGATTCCATTTAGAATGGAATTTCATAGAGTGAAACTGATCAGATTTCATGTAGTCCAGTGATGTGCAATCTACAGTGGTACCAAATTTGACATACATGGTGTTTCCATCAATTGATTTCTAACAATAGAAATTTCTACAGACTTAATTAATGGCTCAAACTGTATTAGAAAATATGATAGACTCATTTGCTAATGTTTAATTAAAAGAAAGGACATTATTTTAAGGCATATTTTAGGTATGTTATTTTAGTTTGAACTCTCCTTTGAAATATCCCCCAAATATGTGTACTGTTAATCTTTTCCCATTTTTCTGCTCTCTGCCCTTTGCTAGCATTACTTAGAGCCTCCAGTGAAACTGAGTGAAGCTCTAGAAAGATATGGACTTAAGACCGAAGATTTTTTTGTCCTGAAGCATGGAGAATCGAGATACCTAAGTACTGATGATGGCACCTTTGAATAAATACGAGCACAGGAGCTATTAATGAAAAAGGCATCATCTGAAATAAATTTGAAAACAAGTGAAAAGACTAAGAAATTCATGAATATTATGTTTTTTTAAATTTGGAAATAACTTCTGCAAGTTTGTGTTTTATGTTTTGTGTAATAACTTGTTTACTAATGATTGCCAGCTATTAAAAACTATGAAAGAAGAGTTCAGGGGTGGGTCATTTAAATAATAAATTGTCTAATGTGAATTTTAAATCACGTGTCAATGGTATAAGCATTGCAGTGGAAATTTTTTTACTAAAGCATTATACTTTAGTGGTGGTAGAACTTTCTGACATTGTGAAAAACTGATATGAAAAACTCATTTCTGTTTTTCTGTTCTTCAGGACCTTCTATAAGGTGAATCAAGGCTGGCTACCTACCTAGATTTTTTTAAGGGGCCTACACATACAAATATTTTTCTTATATTCACATTATAGTAAATGATGAAATTGACTCCCACATGCTTACAAACATTTCTTGCTCTACGAAGACTGGTTATATGCCAGATGTTACGAATGTGATTTTGTTAAGCATAAAAACATAGGGGTTTGAGTGAAGTTATTATTTTTAAAGACTTAATTTTTTTTGTTGTGGTAAAATGTACATAACATAAAATTTACCATTTTAACCATTTCTAAGTGTACAGTTTTTTGGCATTAATGTAGCCATGACCACTGTAGACTTAATTTTTAAAAGGGGGAACAGTATATTCTATTGCATACCTACAATCCCCAAATCAAAAGCCCTCTGAGTTGGGCAGAGGAAGGGAGTGTGGTTATGAGGATATCATTTATGAAATTTTCTATTTTTAATCTCAAAGTCAGATCTTCTGCTAAGCATAAAAATAGCTATAATGCAATATTTTACAGAGATAAATGCAGATCTTAAGTGTTAATAGATCATACACTTTGAATTAAATTTTATTTTCTCTGTTTTCCATTTTCTCTACACACATTTATGTTTTTCTGGTCTCTTAGCTCTAACTCTAAATATGTCAGTAAGATTTATTTTATAGATATTTTGTTTTACATGATTCAGATTTCTTATATTTTTATATTAAATGAACCCTAAATATGATTCTACCTTTTATTATGCCAGTGTGGAATACCAGTGGTTAAAAAAAAGATGGTGATTCTGGGAGTCAGCTGACCTGAGGTTTAGTCCCAATAAGGGCTCCGTATTCACTTGATTACTCTGAACCTTCCTGAGGGAGGGAGCTGGATTAGATACTATTGGAGACCCATTCAGTGTTCCTGATCCATATAGTCAGTGAAATAAACTTTATTCAAATAAAATAATCGAAATAGGTTTTTTGCACCAAATGCTACCCAGGCAGTGCTCTACAACCTGCACATATATATATATATATGCTTGCCACGTTAGCCACTAAAGCTGAATTTTAATCCTGCTTTTATCATGGATTTTTTGTGTAAACCTGAAACAAGTCACCTATGCTCACTGTGCCTGTTTCCTCATGTGCAACAAGATAACTTTGACCTACCTCTGAAAAGTGTGTACAGTAAGTAATAAAGTGATATTTCATAGAAATATATGGGAGAAAATGATTTCTTAAGGTATCACTGCCTAATATAGATAGGTACATTTGAAAGCTGAAAATAGGCTAATGCTTTTTGATAATGTATTGTTACTGTTACAGATTTAAGTGTATGGTAGGACACTAGACATTGAAGACTGACAATTTTATCTCACTCATTTTGTAAATTTGGAGAATAATAGCCAAGATAAATGTAAATGGTTTTTATCAAAATTTAGTATTTTTATCTACAATGATGCAAGTCAGTAAAGGGGAAATGTGTATGCAATGTGCATGTCTATAATTAATGTGAATGTGATTTGGGGGCACTAAAGCACAAAAACTTTTCCCATAAAAATAAACCTTCAGGAGAAAACTGAACAAGCATAAGCTTTTTCACTCCAAGCAGATGTTAATCAAGATGTTAGCTTCACGGTGGGTTAACTTTGGGGCACGTTGCCCTTAATACTAGCCAACGTTCTGGTAGTTATCTTCTTTGCTGCTGCACTCTGAACTGAAAATTCATCTCTTACCTCTACTCTATGAAGCAAGCCAAGTATGTCTTGCTTAAGTATGTCTTCTCCATGAATGGCCTTAACATTAGTTTTGTATTCACATGTAACATTTAACTGAGGGTCTCTGGGCACTTTAATTTGTCGTGTTCTAGTTCCACTTCATTGGGCCTGCCTCATTTTTCTACGCCTCTTCAACAAGCTGTGATTTTTTTTTATTACCATTCACATTCTTTCTACAATGAAACTTTATTCTTTAAGAACTATATTAAGCTTCATATCTCCTTATAGACTCTCACTCCATTGAGTGGTTTTCACTTTATTTTTCACTTATTATCTACATTTTGAAGAGTGTATGTGCAAAGTGAAAACAAATTTTGAAAAATAAGACAAGTCCATTCTCTTCCCTCAATTCAGTCCAATATGCACTATAATACCTTTTAATTGATCTTATCCTCTAAGTCAATTTCATTTTCCTCTTTGATTAGCTGGCATCCATACCAGCATGTAAGATTTTATTGTTTCCTTTGGTGACTGAGGAACACTGTTATGCCTCCCTTTCCCATAGGGTAGGTCAGCAGTTAGGAGAAAGCCCACCTAATAAAAGCCAAAACATGCCATGACCTACATAGGTAAAGATCTATTTGTGCATTTTCTTTCTGGGTAGTTAAAAATTACTCCCTCTTTTCTCTAGCATTTTGACATTTCAGACTCAATGTTCTGGGCTCTAGGGAGTGTGATTATTTACTCAAACTAATAATAGAGGAAGAGAAGAGACGGAGCTTTAGAATTCACCACTGCTAAAAGCACATTGAAAAAAAGTCCTGGTTTTTATTGTGTGAATGTTTTGAATACATACTTTCACTAAATAGGCATATTTTTAAAAATTGCTATAAAGAAATGTGCCTTTTGGGGAATACTTACATTAATGTCACCAATTACTACTCTATCCCGTTGGGAATTTACATTTTTTTCCTTATACTGAACCCTTTTTCTACTGTAAAAATATTTCTTCAAAGTTTGATTTCTGTATCAGGATAACCTTGAAAACACATTTTTCTGTTTGAGGATTTGTGGCTTCCTACAGAAAACACTCTTGTATCCATGTATTTGCAAATGAAATTTAAAGTACTCTTAAAGCTTTGCCTTAAATACACAAGTACTAAAGCTTCTGCTTGCATATTGATTCACTTAATGCCAAGCATGGCAAGGGTTATGAACTGCAATATTATAAAGCCTGGCTGAATTCAGATATACTAATAAATTGTTATAGTAGCTTATGGAATAAAAATACTATGGAAAATGTAACAGAAATTTTCATATATTGTAATTTTAGTCAAGTAAAATATGGATGAAAATTAATGAATAAAGTACTGTCAATTAAGGGGAGAAAATATGCATAACCTAGTGAGTGATTTTTTTTCCTCTTTATTTAAAAAATTACAATTTAGGCTTATAGTAAAAAAATTCAAACAGAAGAGGGTACACATAGAAAAATCATTTCCCCACTCCCCAGTCCCACTCCCACAAGTTTGAGTACCATTCTAGAAGTGTTCTGTTGGTACATAAGCATAAATATTTCTCATTTAAAAAACCACAGGTGTGATCACACCACATTATTCTATGACATGTGTTTTAAAAAAAACAAGCATATTTCATGGATGTCTTTCCACAACAGCACATTTAGACCTGGTTCTTTCTTTTCAAAGACTGGATAATTGATTTAATAAACTGCCTGTGGATGGACATTTTGATTGATTCCGGTATTTTATATGTAACATGGTTACATACTGGAACACTGAATGGGAGTGTGGGTGGGTCCTAGGAAACATTTTCTCCTAAAAGTTTACATTTTCATTGACTAGAAGTGATCATTTTAATGGTTAGAATAGACTTTTGAAAGCAGTATGGCTGGGTTGGCAGGTGGACTTGAGAGCTCAGGATCTCTCCGCTACTTAGAAGAAAAAGGCCATTTCTACGGCAGTTCTGAAACAATGATTTAACCACCTGCTAATGCTGTCTCAGATGAGTAATTGCAAATCACTTCAAACTGAAGGGTAGCTTGCATGTAAAAAGGTCACTGCCACTTCATGTAGAGGAAATAACTAAAGTATCTCAGTAAACAGGTGGCAAAATAAAAATATAATTGTTTTCAGTACAAGCTCATATTCATCTGGTATCAATAAAATGGTCCAAAATAAATCTTAAGACCATTGCAAGTTACAGCTGTGTTAATGATGAAACATGTTATTTACTGTTTAAATTCAACAGCTGAAAGACTCCCTATACAAGAAGATAGAAATAAGTTTATGTGAGTTACCTCCAGACTGTGTTACTCCTTGGAAAAATATGACCACCTGATCAGAATTTTGGTATTATTGCTACAACCTTTTCTTTCACATCAGCATCATGGTGAGAAGCTAAAGCTCTTATTTTCTGGGCACATTCTTCTCCATACAACAGGAAAAACAATGACCCTTTAGTGAAAGTAGGCTGAATAGCCAAATGGTCTTCCGTTTTGACGCAGTTATTTATATTCTGAAATAACGTAAGTACTCGAAGGAGAATCTCCTTTGCTACATGGCCGTCATAGAGGGAAAGGAATGATGAGTCCACCTAAAATAGGAAACAATGAGTATTACTTTATCTTAATAACATGAAAACGTTTTTCATATACATTTTTACATTTTAAACTACATGGAATATTTTACATTTTAAAAATCTTGTCACAGAAAGTTAACCCTAAGATTGTATAGCTTAATGTGTAAAATCTTACACATCCCTAGGTTGTATTCTAATGGAAAAAAGAGGTTTGGGGTTTTAGCTGAAAAATACTGTTTCTTTGGAATCCCAGAATGTAGTCACTTGGAAAAAACATCCATTTCCTTTTTAAGACCCATCATACAGTTTTCATGGGAACTCATTAATTCACCTTAAAACATTTGCTGTCCCCACAGAGTGCAGGGCACAGGGCTGGGGAACAGGGATGAGCAGTTGAATATGATGGTCCTTTCTATAGGCGTCGAGCTCCATTCCATCTCAGCACCACCTCTGCTTCCTTCAGAATGCTTATCACAGCTTTCAGTTATCTCTATCTTTTGTTACATATTTTTGTCTCTCACAAGACCCTAAGCTCCATGAGGACAAGCAAGCACCACGTCATGCTATGCTCACTGATGAGTCTCAGCACGTACCCAGCACCTAGCCTGTACTGGAGACTTGGCCAGTACTGCTGTTTTAGTGGATACTAAGAGACACATGAACAAAAACAGGTCAGGTACAAGGGTACTTGTAAAAAAAAGAGTCCATGGGAGGATTTGTACTATCTTTTAATTCTGCTTTTCCAAGAACTTTTGGAAGTACCTTTATACAAAAGATTTGCTGGCATGAGTGTACCCAAACTAGGGTAGAGAGAAAAATGATAATTTATTGTTTCTAGGGGGAATTTTTTAGATGCGTTTCAAAAGTAAAACATGCTCGTTCAGAACATTTAGGAAATGCATATATGCAAAAACAAAACAAAACAAAAAAACACTTTTAATATTGTTCCTCAGAGATAATTCCTGTTAACACTTCAGGATAAATCTTTCCAGATCTGTCTATCCAAACCTGTGTGTGTGTGTGTGTGTGTGTGTGTGTGTGTGTTTACAAAATAAATATGTAAGCTATTATTTACTTGGGCACCAAGTAGTCCTTCTGTCATGGCTGGGTTTTCAGACAAATTCAAAAGAAGTTTCAAAACTTGAACCTGAAATAAGAAGAATATTGGTTTATTTCAGACCAGCAAGCATTAATTTTTTTCTCCCTAGCATGCTGTCTTCTCACTATGTCCTCCTTTTAGGCCTAGCTCAAATTCTCTCTACTCCATGAAGCCTTCTTAATTCATCCAACTTAGAAGGTCTCTCTCTCTCTCTCTGAACTCTTAGAACACTTGGCACCACTCTCAGCACTTAATACAGAGCAGTGTTATTTAAACCTTATTTTTCCAACTACACTGTTAGGACATAGGGAGAATATTGTGAATGTCCTCATAATCTACGCAACACACTCCCCTAACACATGGTCGCTTAACACGTGTTAAATGAATGATCTTTATTATGACTGGTAAGTGAAATGTGATCTTTGGAACAAAAAGAAAAACAAAAACAAAAACCCTCCCAAAGTTCATTTCTTTTCTACTTAAAGTATGAAAATTTTGGAAGAATTTAGTTACCAAGACTAAATAAATTTAGTAGGTTACTATGAATCTTTGAGGTTATCTTTTTTATGTGGAAAGCATTTTATAAGCATTAAAATAGGCACAATGATATAAATAATAGGACACCAAATGTTACTTAATAGCCAACTAGCTAAAATATCAGCATAATTATCACTTATAACTAAAAATTCAGTAATAAAAACATTCAAATTGAATTCCCCTTTTAAAAACACAGGCTATGAGAAACCACACTTTCTACAAGATACTTGAAATTAATGTGAGGAGCAGGGAGAGGGTCCTGAAGTCAGGAAAAAGTGACAAACGTGATCTCCACTAGACCTGGGAAGGAACCTGGATGTTTATTTTATAAAACATTTTGATTACAAAGGTGATAGGTGTTCGCTAGAAACATTTATTTTTAAACATAGAAAAGCATACAGGAAAAGAAAATTCACCCATATTTCCATGACCAGAAATTATCATTATTAAGTTTTGGTGTTTTCTTTCTGGTTTTTAACTATGCACATGTCCTATATACTTACAATTCCTTTGATCTTGGTGTAAGTAATTATTTATTTATTAAAAAGGAGGATATATAACTTTGCTTAATTTTATTGTCATCAATTTTTTAAAATTTTTTTATAAAATTAGCACCTGGTCATGATAAAGATTTCCAACAGTGCCGAAAGGAACAAGATAAAAACAAAAGCCACCACCCTATGGGCCCATACCACTCTCCAGCGGGAACCACTGGTAATGTTTGTTGTATTTGCAGAGATCATGTTTTTCAAACAGACACTCTGGACCAATTATGGCCTCTTGAGGTGAAAAAGTGAAGGAGACTTCTGAGCCTTCTTTAGTGCACTCCCCAGAGAGGTCACTGTTAGATCTCATCTGGCCTGACTGGCTGTCAGCAACACCAAGAGTTAAGTGTTAGGAAAACCACCTGGCTCCAACGTCAGTGAAGTTTCAATTAGGAAAACAGGAACAAGAGGTATGAAATAGCCTGGTCCTGAACCTATGAAATAAGCCTGGATGAAATCAATAAAATCTAAAAAGGCCCCCTAGTAGTCAATGAGGGCAGGTATACAACCAGGGCAAAGCAAGAGCAATAGCTATTCAGTATCCTGCACCAGAGTTTGATGTTGCTCTCCTCTGTAGAAGGGAGTGAAACGTGAGAAAAAACAGAGTACAACTATAGATTAAATAAATGCATGTACTTTAATTTGAAACAATATTAAGTCATCTTGTTTTCTCCTGTCACATGCACCATCTTATGGTGACACTAGGACATTTATTTTAAGCCATTAGTTTTATTTGCTCTCATTGCAGATGTAGTAAGCACACAGTTTATTTATGTTAATTTTCCACTATTTGTATTTAGTTGTGAATCAGTGGTGTGCCCAACAGATTATTACACTCAGTGAGATCACTGACTTGGGCAAAATAGGAAGATATTCTAAAAGTCATTTTGGTGGGTTTTTACTATGGATACATTTCCCACTAACAAATGGATGACTATCCAAAGGTGCATTTGCAAGTTGGAACTTTTTATGGAATAACTATTATAATTGGTGGCTAGATTCCCAGGCAGACCAAAAAAGCAAATTTTCTATCCCAGAAATATCATACCCGGCAATGTAACGGAAAACAAAACACAACAAAATGAGACGAAAATAGAACATATGATTGTGGTGTGAATCACCTTTTAAAAAGTCATAAAATACTATATTTAAAACACAGACCAAGTCTGAGACAGATATATACAGTCCCAAGGCCAGACTTGCCTGGCTCCGAGCTCAGTGTTTCTCCTAAGGTTTTGGGTAAAGCAGCTGCACAGACAGGTAGAGGAGAGATTTTCTAGAGTGGCAACACCATGCATAAAGAGGGAAGGAGTTTCCATGGGGCCATGAAGTCATCTTGCTCCACTGGAAAGAGAGATGCTGATGGGCACAAGCATGCTGGAAATTGCCTGGGATGGAGCAATTCTGCTAGAAGAGGACTTCTTACATTCACTTTTAAATGCCTTTGGGTACATCTTGGATCAGATCCAAGTAAGTTTGGCTATTGGAAATGTGAAAAGCACATATACAAACACCCCAGAAACATAAAAGCAGGAAGATAGTAGGGCTCTCAGGTAATCACATCTTGATAATCTCAGAAATAACTGGAGTGACGTCAGATATTTAGAGCATGGCTTCACACTCAATCACAATGCTTTCCTTTAGTCACAGTGCTCCTGTATCTGGTGGGGGGGAAGCCAGTGTAGGGGTGGAAAGGTGTGATACTTTCCTCACCATAAGGGTCACGGCCCACACTCCTATAACAAAAGACAGGTTAACAAGAGAAAATCATAACAAATTTATTTAATCAAAGGTTTATGTGACACAGGAGTCTTCAGAAATAAAGACCCAAAGACCCAGGGAAAACTGTCTGTTCTTATGCTTAGGTTTGATGAAGAATGGACAGCCACATAGAAATGTGACTGGATAAAAGGGTATGATCTAATGACAGTAGACTTGATGGGGAAACGTGGCAAGGCCTGTCCAGATTCTTCTTGGCCTCTGTACACAGCATTCCTTCTTTCCAGGTATGGGGCAGGACCCCTCTGAAATGAGGGCCTTATGACTAGGTAGGTCAGAGAATTTCTTTATGGCCAGCTCCTGCACAGAAAGGCAGGGGAAGGTTAGAGTAATACAAGTATTTCTAGGTTTTATGGCTAGCTTTGGAGAAGAGAAGTTCTAGTTTCTATGACCGGCCTTCGGGAAGAAAAAGGAGCGAGAGACAGGAAGGCTAGAGAAACTCAGAAAGAGACTTTGCTTCTGAGACCGCTTCTTAGGACTTCCAATCTCCTTTGGTTCAAAGTACTCAGCATGCCAAAGCACCATACCTTGGGGTATCATTTTCTGAGCCTCAACATTAGCTACTTCACTTCAATAAAAGGAAATTTTACTGATTCTCAAAAATCAAATGTACAACAATCTACTGGTAAGTGAAATGACAGACGATTTTTATAACTCAAAATTAGGGGATAAAAATAATGTACTTTCTTGGGCCCATCTGAGGGTTTTTAATAAACCTTGACTAAACTTTCTTTTTTTGAGAGTGTTATGGATTAAATTGTGTCCCCTAAAGTTGAATGTATTAGAAACCTAATCCCTACTGTGGCAGTGTTAAGAGGGTGGGAAATCCTATTATGGTAACTGAGAGGGGGCCTTGAAGAGGTGATTAGACTGTGAGGACTATGCCTTAGTGAATGGATTAATCCATGGATGGTTTAATGGTAGTCATGGGTGTGGTTGATGGCTTTAAAAGGAGAGCCATCTCTTTATGCTTCTGCCATTTCACCATGTGATACTCTGCACTGCTGTACAGTTACCACCAAGAACAAAGCTCTCACCACATGTGTTCCTTGGACTTTGGACATCCCTAGCCTCTGGAACTATAAACAATAAATATTTCTTTATAAATTACCCAGTTTCAAACATTCTGTTATAAGTAACAGAAACAGCCTAATACAGAGGGGACATCAGCTTAAGATAGGTGGCCTACAAATTCAATTTCAGTCTTAATACACTTGAGGCAATAGGTCTTCATACTTCAAGTATTAACCACTTTATACCTTGGTGCTTCCATTTCCAGTGAGTAACACATGGAACAGGTCTGTAATGTAACTATCAAGCAAGTGCTGGTGGTCATTGGTAACAGTCATGTTCGTTAACAATCTCAGTCCAGCCAGCTGCACAGCAGAGTTCAGAGGACCAGAGAAGACATCCTCACAGACTTGACTGATGTATATCTAAAGCAGGAGGGAAAAAAGAGAGCATCTTAGTTTCTAAAATTCTTCTATTGAACTGTCACTTCTCTGCACAGTGAAGTAGGGTGATTGCTCAGGATGGAAAATGGCTCCTTAGAAAAGATGACATTTCTACCCAGCCTTCAAACTTCAGTGACTTTTTTAAAGCTACTATTGATAATGCCAGGCATTGTGCTTAGCATCTTATAAATATACCTTACTTAATCCTAAGACAACTGTAATGAGGTGGGTGTTATTATAGCCATCTTACAGACAAAGACTGTAAAGTCTAAGGAGCTCAGGTCCCCTGCCCAATGCCAGCCAGCAGGTGAGGGAGCCATGTCCCAGTTCAGAGATCATGCCCTCAACACCAGTGGCATCTCTCTGGTTGGGGGCTTCCCAACTCAGTCCACCTTTCTGTTTCAACTGCTCTGGATGCACCAGGACCAGGGAGGATGATGTGTGAGGCCATTTAGCAGTAGGGTCTAGAGAGTGTTATCATGTCAGAAGTAAAGAATAGGGGGACAAACTGAAATGGAATCTTTCTTTAAAGTAAATTCTATCAAAAGTAAGCAGAGCAAAATTACATTTGGCCCAAGGTTCTTCTTATTTACCTAACCTACGTACATGATCTATCTGTTCACAATATTGTTAAATACCACTGGCAAAAAGTAATGCAATGCCAATAGGACTCCTATTTCATTTATGAGAGAACTAAACCCAGTATGATGGAAAGTTTTCTGAAACTCTATTTTCTATGTCTGGTCATGGTCTTTCAGCTTGGAAAAATTATGTTTTATAGATAATTTGTATTCACCAAACTAAATCTAAACACCACCAAAAGTTCTAACTAGTAAGAAAATTTTCCTAATTTGTAGTGCTAAGAAATTACCAACTGTCCCAAGCACCATTATTAATTTTTAAAAATCTCCAAATGTTACCATAGAAACTAAAGTAATGGCAATAAAGCACAGAGAGATTAAACTTTTAATCTGGTTTCATGATTTGAATTACATTTACAAGTCAACTGGCTCTCTTGGTCACAATTTCATTACACACTCATCCTTTTAAAAAATAGCATTTCTTCAGCTCTTTTTTTTTTGTCTTTTTGTCTTTTTCCGTGTCCGGCAACGGATCGCAACCCTCAGTGTTGCCCCCGTACCGGACCGGGGACCGGCAACGGGATCGCAACCCTCGGTGTTGCTCCCGCGCCTCGCTCAGCCAGTGAGCGGGAACCGGTCTGTATGTGGGATCCGAACCCTCGGGCGGGAGCGCCGCCGCGCTTCCCAAGCGGCGCACTATCCAGTGCGCCACCGGGCCGGCCCCTCTTCAGCTCTCTATAAATCATGTATTTTCATAATATCCTAATGTCTTTCAAAGCATTTCTTAAAATGTGTTGGAACATTTACATCCTTATTATATCTGAATCTTTTCACCATTCCAATTCTTTTTTTTTATTTTTTTTTTATTTTTTTATCTTTTTCCGTGTCCGGCAACGGATCGCAACCCTCAGTGTCGCCCCCGTACCGGACCGGGGACCGGCAACGGGACTGCAACCCTCGGTGCTGCTCCCGTGCCTCGCTCAGCCAGTGAGCGGGAACCGGTCTGCATGTGGGATCCGAACCCTCGGGCGGGAGCGCCGCCGCGCTTCCCAAGCGGCGCACTATCCAGTGCGCCACCGGGCCGGCCCTCACCATTCCAATTCTAATAATAAGATTACCTAAGGGGCCAGCTTAGTTATTCCTGGAGCTGTCCCCACTTCATCATGTTCCTTTCTCTTAGAATTCTCTTCTTCCCCAACTCTCAACGTTAGACATTCTTAAGAGCCAGGTCAGATTCCACCTCTCACAGAAACTTTTGGATGGCATCTCTCCTGTCTATGTACTCAACAATGTTTTACTTATATTTTTTCCCTAAAGCATTTCATCATGTTTTGCCTTGAATTATAACTATCTGTGAACTTGCCTTATCCCTCTCTCTAGCTTTTTTACAACATGAGTTGTATCAGGTTCATTTCTATACTCTGTACCACAGAGCAGGAGTTCAATAAATGTCAAATTGAATTAACATAATTTCCTAATTTATTATGTCTTTCTGCTGATGTTATCTGATTCTGGCCTGGTTTCTTTAGCACCCCTGGATTAAACTGAACCCCAAATTCAAAAGTCAACTGAACCTCTTATTGGCTGGTTCAGGTCCCTCCCTCCTCTGCCTTGTTCTCCATTCCTCTAAAGGTAATTCTTGGCCATAAAGTTACAAAGAATAATCTACTAAAGTTTTATTACTTACCTTTTTGAAACTGTCTCTTTCATTTATAGAAAACCTCACACACTGGTGATTTCAGACAACTTACCCTTATCATGATTTGATTTTCAACATTCACACTCAGGTTATTTAGTGCGTTTAAAGCTTTCTCCTTAATACTGTGATTGGGACTGTTCATTTTGTTTCCAACAATTGGAATACCACCCAATTCACGAATAATAGCCTAAAAGGGAAAAAAACAGGATCTCACTTCAGTATGAATCCCTTCACTGAATTCTTTGCTTCCACAAATATAATTAAAAATCAATGACTTTTTGGAAATATCTTTACCATACACAAATCTATAATTAGTATTTTTTTTTTTTTTTTTGTCTTTTTATCTTTTTCCGTGTCCGGCAACGGATCGCAACCCTCAGTGTTGCCCCCGTACCGGACCGGGGACCGGCAACGGGATTGCAACCCTCGGTGCTGCTCCCGCACCTCGCTCAGCCAGTGAGCAGGAACCGGTCTGTATGTGGGATCCGAACCCTCGGGCGGGAGCGCCGCCATGCTTCCCAAGCGGCGCACTTATCCAGTGCGCCACCGGGCCGGCCCTATAATTAGTATTTTTTTTTAAAAAAAATCTCACTACCCATAATTTTGTATAGGTAAAGAAAATCAATTGCAAATAAAATTATTACTTAATTATTTAAACTACAGCATGGAGATACACAATAAAGATTTGCAGAACTACTATAATAATCTTGAAGCAATTTACAAACAAACAAACCAAACAAAAAAAATTATTTTACTTTGAAATGAGTTGTATGACTTACCTGTTACAGGCAAACTTGGAAGAGTGTTATGATTTAGAATATGAAAGTAGTGTTTTGCTAACATGTATTCTTTGGAACACTAATTCAAGATGTTGACAAATGTTCCATAAAAAAGGAGGTTATGTAAGTTTGGGAAACTTCAGGTATAACATGTTTCTTTATTGTGAGGCCTTAACATGTTCATGTGCATTGGGAATCTCCAAGAGAAGAGCATTGACTACAGTATTTCTGTGAATTATACACAAAAAAAGAGTCATTTTTCAGTGGTGGAAGTGGGGGAAACACATTAACACCTTGCAGAATTGGAGTTCTACATAGCTTGAAAAATGGTGCCCAAATTTTCAAAGAAAAATAAACTGGGATTTCCCATAATTAATTGCGACACTATGTTACCATATGTATTTGGCTCAAACCTTGAAAGAAGTATCAGTTGCTTTAATTCTTACAAGAAAAATAAGCAGAAAATTACTCATGTCAGGTAAAGACATGCCATTCTATCAGAAAAGGAGAAAAAGATTGCATCTTGTTATAAACAACCCAATACTTTACTGTATTAGCAATGCCAGGTTCTTTGGAAGGCCTTGCAGTTACTAGAAAACAGTTTGTTTTTGGCAAAGGAAAATGGCGACGGGTCTGGAGCACCCGTGTCAGGAAACAGCGCGATCCTGAGAGCT